GGTGTCGTTTACTTACCGCACCCAATCCGTTTTTAATTTCTTTTGAAAAGTTTAATTAAATATCATTTTTTTGTTACATTAAAGCTTCATTAAATTTCCACGTTGGCCTTGAGGATTTGGCTGAGAAAATATCTGAATAATGGTGAATCCGTGTTTGATATTCAAGTGGATTATACCTAATCGAAAATAATTAAGACAGCCCATCAAGTTGTAAAGATTGTCCAATCAGAAATTTATTGTTTAGTCCAATGTACGTTGGGAATACGGACTATATCTTATATTGCTAGATACTGCCTTGTTGGGTTAGTTTAAGAGCATAATTCTATATCTTACACCTGCTCCAAGATCTTTAAAGTTTAAACAAGTCGTTCAAACAAGAAAAAAGCAAAGCTTAACACAATCATAACTGTTGACTGTATCTTTAGGGAAATCCCATTTGAAGGAATGACTTGTCTTCCCAAAAAGGCTTTAGGGGTTTGAATTGAAGAATGAAGAGGTCCAGGCTTCTAGTGCAAGTCTAAACTTGTAGTCTTGCTAAAGATCACTTTTCTAAAAAAAGAAAAGGAAACAATGCTCCTTACATTGTTTAATCGACTCATTCAAACTGTCCAACAGAAATCCATCGGCGGGTCTGTCATTGTAAATCTTGTTTAGTATCGTGTCATTGTTTATTTGTCTGTGTCACTAGAGGATTTTGGCAGGCTCAGGCTGGCAACCAAGGTAGGCATGTCAATGACTACTTTATAATCAAATATCTTGTATTATTTTACTTAATTAAATAAAATTAAAATATTTTATAATCAAATTTAGATTGTTATCCATCACAAATTCGAATAGAGTTCAGATAGTGATCTTAAGTATTTATTTTTAAAATTTGATTATAAATAATAATTTGTAGTATAAAAATTTAATAATATATACATACTTTTTTGTTTATAATTTTTTAATAATTAATGTCCCCTATTAAACTTCATTAATTGCTTTAAAAATTACTTTAAACTTTAATTTATTTTTTTATAAATTAACTTTAGTTTATTAATTTAATTTTCACGAATAATATACATAAAAATTAATTTTGAAATTAAATTTAATAAGATATTTAACAAAAAATATTTAATTATTAATATTTACAATATTAATAGAATATTTATAGAATTCAAATATCTTATTAAATAATAGAGGTCCCTAATTAGGGAGGTTTCCCCTTTCGTTCTACTTTGGGCTTTACGGAGGGGAAACATCAAAATTGGACTTGTTATTTGTTTCCAAGGCAGCTCCTACTGAAATAAAAAGTAAGCCCATTCTGAATATGCAGGCTGTTGAGTTGGGTGTTTGAAGTTTCCAACGTCATCAGCAACCACAACCAGGAGTCCTATTGGGCTAATACACACACTTTTGGGTGAAACGCAAATCCCAAGAAGCGTGTGGGCTTTGGCAGACTGCATTGATTTCTTCGTGCTGTAAGCTGTCTCAATCCTGTTGTTGCCCTAGACTTCATGTGTTATCCATCCAGCAAAGAAAAATGGATGGTCGATCAAGTTTCTATTAGGTAGATCTTTACGAGAAATAATACCATATAATTACAATATTTGAGCTATTTATAAGTTGGCTTGCAGTTTTACAGTGCATTGGTTATGCAAGGAAGTTCAGTTTTAGAACTGTTGATTGTTTTTCTCGGGAAAGAATTCATAGTCTAAGCTTTGCTAGAAATAGAAACGATAATTCAACTTTTACTAGACTAATCTTTAATTTCATTGGTGTAAGAAATATGATCAAACTGATCCTGGCATCGAGCTACCCTTTATTTGGCCTCTTTATCAGTTGACCCAGTAAATACCCTCTAAAAATAGTCAATGTCTTCAATCAACCAAAAATTATCAATCCTCTCCTCTCTCTCTCTCTCTCTCTCAGCCTCCTATTGTCCCATGCACATGCAGCTGCCACCACCTTCCATGCAAAGTCACCGCCACCTCCAATAATCTCCTATTGCTCCTAAACCGACCTACACCTCTCCTCTCCACCGCTCCCCATCTTCCTATTTATGGAGGAGCGGGCCACCTCACCCACCAATACGAATAACCCTAATCCTCATCAAGAAGTTGTACAAGTTCAAGAATCCGAGCATGTAGTGTTTAGGCCAGGAACCTACGTCATTCAGGTCCCTAAAGATCAAATCTATCGCGTGCCGCCCCCGGAAAATGCATTGATAGCTGAACGCCATTTGAACAATCGAGCTAATAATAATAGACGACGGTGTTGTTATTGGCCCTGGTGTTGGCTTCTCTCCCTTGTCATCCTTGTCCTGCTTCTCGGCATCATTGCATGGATGGTTTACGTGCACCTTATAAAGCGTTAAACCTGTCCTTGTCGTCAAGAACTCACTATTTATGTCTCAAGCCAGAGTTGGCGAAGTCAGAAATCGAAATGGGAAAGCGGGGATTTTGTGTGTGTGTATATATATATATGGACCTGCTTTTTCTTTCTATTAGGCAAACAGCAGCTAATAATTCTACAAATGTTCCTGTATATAGTTCTATTAAGAGTTTCATTTAAGTATGGATGGTGGAAAATCGAAAGTGGATGCGTCATTGATTATATGGATATTACAATTTGAATCAAAAAATAAGTTTAAGTAGGTCTTAATCCAAATCAATTAAGAACTCAGAAGCTCTTGAAGTAACACGATAGACAGTGGACATGTTTATTTTTCTAGTCTAATTAATCTAGAGTTTTAAATATTTTTTACTTTCACTTTTGTTTATTTTTTTTTCGAATATTAACATTTATATCATTATATTATTAATTAATATATATTGAGAATATTTTGTTATTGAAAAGTCTTAGTTCGAGTTGAGTTGATTGCAAAGGTTGCTGATTCTAAACTTGTTTGAGGATTTTTCTTTAGCAATAATCACCATTTGTCCATTTCTCAGTTTTTGCTTTTGCTTCCAATTAATTTAACACTACTTAGAAATGTATAATTAAATTAGGCCTATTATTTTCATATAGGATTGCATGTTTAACTTTGTTGAGACCATGAGCTATCAAAAGGGCAAATAATTTTATTTTAAACTGGGTCGTTAGCAACAAATAAACCCCAATCTAACATTAATAAATTAAAAGAATACATGGGCCACACTATAACCAGCGGGGCCTCCTTGACCAAACCGAGTAGTCGGATTGCATGGGTTTTATCTTTTATTAAGAATCAGCTCCATGCACAGTTTGGAAATTCATGTTTTATTTTATTAATTTTACTCTCCATCTTATATAATCACATTGAACTTGTTTGAAAAAAAAATAAAAGAAGCTTCGATAGTAAGATTTGATACTTTGAAATTATTTAAATTAATTATTTATAATATTGGAAAAGGTTCACATATATACGAGACCTTAATCTAGTACTTGAGGTTCAGTATGGTTTTCTTATAAGGTTATGGCTTGAAGTTGTTTTTCGCTTTAAAAATACACTCAAATGGCTTGATTATTGAACCCCGCTGCCCTGCTTGTTTCGGGTGTTTTACAAGCCTGCATTGCTAGACTGGTCATGACTCGTGGCAATAACTTAAATAACCACAATATGGGGACAAAACAAGCCCTTCCAGCTTTATTTACGTCAAAATACGCCCTGTGATCCGGGCGCTTCGCCGTCTAATTATATTAATAGAATTCTGGAAAGGTAGAGGATTCCTGTCTATCTATATGTTAGGTACAAGATAATAAAGCAGCAGTATAGTGCTTCAAGCTTCAAACAGAAACATCTGGGTCGATCTTCATCTACCAATCACCTTATACAAGTCCAGGTGCCCGTATGTTTTGTATTATATATAATGCTGAAGATGACCGCTTTAAAGGTGGGAACCTTTTCACTTTTCAGAGTCAATATCTCATATTAGATCAATTAGGGATGGTGGAAAACAGCCCCCCCTGGCCCTGGCTGGTCTACAAAAGTCGAAAAATACAACTAAAATATGGTAAGCTGATTCAGATTAAGTGCCAGTGTCTATGTACATTGGTTTCTCCTTTTTTGGGACTTTCAGACGAAGTTCAAAACTTAATGCTTTATAAATATATATATAAATATATAAAAGTTTTCTTGGAGCCAGCCTATATGGTCAATTTCCTATACGAATTTAAAATTTAGCAAGGCCAAAGCAATATTAAGCTGCCTTCCTCACATTATTGCTTAATTGGCTAGAGGCTGTGTTGTTAGGAGAATACTAGATCTGTGGTTGGTCATTTGTGTCCTTTCTGTCAGGGTGGGGAGGGGTGTAATCATTTTACAGCAATGATGATGGGTAAGATCCAAACAACAACCCTGATAAACAAACACCTGATAAATTTGCTCCCTCTAGCAAGGTCATCTGGATCACATGGGAATCAGATTATCCAACGTTAAACCATGCATCTCCCCCCAAAATTGACCAACTCCGTACAAGGAAAAAAAAAACCTCGATTATTCATATCAGAATGCCACCCCTTTGCTCGGCCCTCTATGCGGGGACCATCCGCCCATGGCGACACGTCCATGAGCGATCCATTATTTGAGTATCTCCGAAAGCAAAAGAAAAAAGAAAACCGCTACAGGACCATTTTCTAGGGAGCAATCACATCTCAAAACAGAGGCATATTATCATTTAAATATTACAAATACATAATGTACTCAACAGAGAAGAAGAATGGGGTGTTTTTAATAATCATGGGCATGGGGTTTCAACTATTCCAAGTCATGGGTTTGAGGCTGTAAGCCTGTCACTCTGGCAACTGGCGTGCAAGATTTTTATAAAACCGGTTAAGAGTTGTTTTAATATTGTAACGCATATATGGTTTGTTGGGAGCAGGAAGGATTCAACATTAAAGAAAACATAGGAGTAGTATTAAATGAATTTTCCTC